ATTACTTAATATTACTGTGAAATAGGTAATAATAAGTAATTTTATAATAATTTGATTCTTAGCAGCAATTTTTCGTTAAATCTCAATTTTGTTCATTCGCCTCCGACTGTTATCATGTGTTTTTTTTTTTTTTTTTTTTTTTTTTTAACCCCGAGATAGCAATTATCTGGGGACGTCATATGACGCGATTTATTAAAACATACAATAAATAGTACAATATTATCAAACCTATTCTAGTCTAATTTATTACGATACTGTTTTGTTTCAATAGCGCTTTCTCTTCCTCTCTTATTTTTTTACACGATGAAGCCACTCGAATTTCCTTCGAAATTCTGTCCTTCCAAATGAGGGGAAGTGCAGGTTCCGGAGGAGAATTGTTCCCCCACTTTTTACTTGTGAAACAGCACCAGATTTCAAAAATTACATTAATGTGAAGCCAGATTATCACTGAATGTGGAAGCCGCCCTCTTGTGTTGAGGGCTGTAACTATTTCCTCTAACGAGTTTGGGAGGGGCATATCTTTGGTAAATTCAAAAGTTTTATATGCTAGTTCCCATAGTTTCTTACTTATTCGGCAGTTTTGAGCGAAGTGTTCCATATTTTGAGATTTGTTTGGGCACCATGGGCAATCTATTGATGCGTCTACTGCTATGTGAATCAGCCTTGTCCCCAGGGGGAGAGCATTATGTATCATCCTCCAAAAAATATCCTTTTTTTTGTTCGGAACCCATTTTACCAATTGCCAGGACCAGTTTTCTTTTCTTTCTTCATTAGTAAAGAAATTGTTTTGAACCAGAGTTTGTGATATGTGGGCCTTTCTTAGAAACTCTGTAGCTTTCGCCACTGTTATTTCATTAGCTTTTTTTCCAATAATTTCTAAAGTATCAGGATTCCAGGGCCATTCTCCTGCATTCGATAAAACCACCCCTTTTAATCTTTTCCATGCCGTTAAATACGGCTTCCATTCATCAGGCCAACCTTTTAATTTGATTGTAGGAGCAGACAAGGCTTCCATGACCGTTCTCTTCTGTTTATTATATAGCACTTTGCTAATTCTCACCCTTTCATTTTTTGCTCAGGAAGTTTGGCTCGTAAGCAGTTTGATCCATATCATACACATTCTCGCATCCAACATGTCCTGAAGGACAGGAGCACCTAAACCATTGTGATCATAACTTTGTTGGTATATGGAATACCTGGGGAGCAACTTGGATTTATTTTTTATCCATTCCATCATTATGTCATTAATTTTCTTTAGTTGCTTTCGATTAGGCGGTAAGATATATGCTACATACCAAACTTTAGAGAGAAGCAGAGATTTAGCTACTAATATTCGACCCCTGAATGTAAGGCTTCTTTTTTTTGTTACATCTACGAGTTTTTTAATTTTTGTTAAAGTTTCTTCCCAGAGATTTTTTTTTGGATCTCCCTTTTCATTAACTTCAAAGCCTAGCAACTTAATTGTGTCATTTTCTTCGACTTTCATGAAGGATTCTTCCCCATTCAGCTTTATTCTTTTGGCTTCTTCATTTAAAGGTAGTAGTTTCGATTTTTCCTTATTTATGACTGAGTTGGAAGCTGTTTCGAATTTTGCTAAGAAACACATAAGAGAAATCTAGTCCTGTTGTGAACCAATCCTGATAGTTAGATCATCTGCGTAAGCAGAGATTCTGAATCTGAGACCAATAGTTGGAGCACCAAGCAAACTTTCATTCACTTTTCTCAAAAAAGGTTCTAATGCTATTATGTATAGGAGAGGTGAGAGAGGATCCCCCTGCCTTACTCCTCTTTCCAACTTAAACAGAGATGATAGTATTCCTGTATCTGTTATATGAGCAGTCAGGTTCGAAAAAAGATTCTTCACCATCTTTATGAAGTGTTGGTCAAACCCTATTTTTCTGAGAACAATGAGTAAAAATTCGTGACTTAATCTGTCAAATGCTTTTCTCTGGACCAAGAACACCAGCCAAGCAGGATTTTTTTGGTTATTCTAACTTCGTAATGTAGTTATTACATCTAGGGCTGCGTCTACAATAGATCTCCCTTTTACGAACCTCTGTTGGTGCTCTCCTATAATATCTTTGCATATGATATTGAGCCTATTTGCTATCACCTTCATGAAAATTTTTGCATCCGCATTGATCAAAGAAATTGGTCTCCAGTTTCTAATATCCTCCAAATGCTCTACTTTTTTTGGTACTAGAGTGATTAGACTTCTATGCTATGAGTTCAGAATTGAGCCTGTATTTAATGCATTATTGAAAATAACTTTTAGAATAGGAGTAATATCATCAACATACTTTTTGTAAAATTCGTATGTTAGACTATCTGTACCCGGAGCCTTATTGGATGGTAAATTATGAATTGTCTTTTGTATTTCTTCACTATCTATCTCCCTGAACAAAGATAAATTTTGCACTTGGGAGACTATTAGAAGATTATTTGTAAAATTTTCAGCTTCGTTCATATCTATTAGCTCTGCTTTGTAGAGGAAATCAAACTGATCCCTTATATAGTGCAAGGTTTTTAGTAGGTCATTTATTAAAGAGGATTCTGGGTTACTAATAATTGTTGTAGCTGAATGTGAGTGTCTTTGTTTATACCTATCAAAAAAGTATCTAGTAGAACTTTCATCCTCTTCTATCCATCTCGTTTTAGATCTTATTTGCTATTTCTTCATAAGTGCTGAGACCTCATCTTGAAGATCAGATTTTAATTGTGTAACTAGAATACTTAGATCTGTTAGGTTCAGATTTTTGGCCATTCTAATATTTAGTTCATTAATTCATTTATTTAATTTTTTTATGCGTTTTTCTGAAGCTGGTGGAGGTTTAAAAGCTCTTATGATTGATTGTATATTAAACTTGCAGAGGTCCCAGTCTGTTTTGGCTGTTACATCTTTTAGTTCTTCTAAAATTTCTTTAGAAATTTTAGAGTTTTCAAGAGACCTTGTGTTTAATTTCCAAAGTGAGGGGTTAGGAGAAACTACTTCATAGAACAGAGAGCAGTGTACCAGAAGGTGGTCCGAATTACCAAACTCTGTATCTACTTTCTTGCACAACTGAATATGATCATCATCTATAAAGATGTAATCCAGCTTTGTAGATATTGTATATCTATTATTAACTTTTTGCGAGTAAGTATAAAATAGCTTAATACCACACGCCTTCACTGTATCTGTAAAACCTTCTATGCACTCATTAAACCTTTTTCTAGTTGGGTCATAGTGATTAGACGATTAACTGATTCTGTCTTGCTATGGGTTTATATTAGTGTTGAAATCTTCAGCTATTATATTGATCGCATTTCCATTATAAATAGGAGACCAGTTGTCTAAGAAAGAAATTCTGTCAGTAATATTCGGGGTGCATAAACATTCATAACTTGAAATGAAAAGTGTTTAAAGGAAAAGTTGGCAGTGATTATTCGACCATTATGAGAAATCTGTCTATTCTCTAATTTTATTTTTCTATTACCTGCTAATATTGCTGCTTTCGAGGACCATATTGAGTTGTATTGCCACTGTTGTCTTAAAAATTTTTGCATTGAGTGATCATTCAAATTAGTCTCTTTAATCATTATGATATCTAACTTATACGATTTTAATAGAGTAAGTATTTCTTGATATTTTGTTCTTTTATTAAGTCCTTTAACATTTAGTGTTCTGATAGAAATTAAGTGTTTGCTATTCATTAATTAAAAAGAAGAAGTTTGTGTTTCTATTTCTTTAAACTAGGATTTACTTTCCTTTTTTTCTTTTTATTATTTCTAACTTCTGTAAAACCTTCATTGTCTTTGTTCTCATTGTCTGCTACTTGTGCTGTGTTAGTTTCATGAATTACCAAAACTTCAGGGGCAATATGCTTTTCTTTTAATGAGACATTTTTAACCGTAGTAATCTCTAAATTTTTAACTATGTTTTTACTACGGACTACCTCTAATACAGGTTGAACCTCTTCTAAGGATACTGTTCATTCTTGCCTATCTTTATCTGAATCTAAGACTATTGTAGTTCTGTTTTGGGAATTTGGTTCAGGGGAAACCTCCTTTTGGGTTTCATCTGATTTGTTTTTTCCTGGTGATGGTATTTTAGATATGTCTTCTACGGCTTCTGTTTGTATTTTTCTGCTCTCTTTGTATTCTTTGTAATGCTGTCTTAATCTTTGAGCTGCTTTTAGCTAGTCACAATCTTTCTTTATGTGTCCTTCACCATCACAGAAATAGCAAAGCTTCAGAGCTTCCTTCCAATCTGAGACAACTTTTTGATCTATTATTTCTATATATCATGGAATTCTTTGAGGTAAATTTTCATTATTCGTAGTATCAAAGATTACTACCTACTGATCTGATTGTATAGATGTACCTTCGTACAAGAGTGGTTTTATAGCAAGAATACTGCCTATATCACCAAAAGTATCCTTAATTTTCTCTGTGATTTCATCCCTTTCTGCAATAGGAACTCTTCTAAGTCTCACTGACAGAGTTGTCCGATTAAGTCTAGTTGATATGAACCCATGAAAGGTTTGTTGAAATATAGTAATTCCTTCTTTAGCATATTTTTTCACCTATTGTTTGTCAATGAAAATCAGCTTGAGATAAGCTCTCTTGCCTTTAACTAAGTGTAGTTTTGCACCAATGATATCAGTTCCAATTTTATTGTACAATGTAGCTACAATGTCATTAGTAAAGATATTTCCAAGACTTTGTATATCAAAAATTAAAGTGTTATTATTCTTTGTATAAATACTGGCCCAAGGGGAAAAGGACGAATACATAGCCTTCCTTTTTGTGAATCTTGGAAATAAACTAGACCATGTTTTAACTGTTTGAGTTGCGCCTACTTGCATGTCAGGTGCTTAATGATCATCTGATTTACTTACATAGGTGTTGCTAGAACTTTCTATACACGAAGCCGTGAGGGATTCCTTATTGTATCTAGCTGAGTCTACTACATGATTATCTTGTACTAGTATGTTTTCGTTCGTGTATTCTTGTTCCATAATTTCTAACCAGTCTGTACTTGTTGAGGTTGTTGTATTATCTGTGTCTATCATTTCTGTCCATTATATTTCTTCTGCGATCATGTTAACTTTTCTGCTTCCATACCTAGTGTCATGTATCTTTCTCATTTTTCTTCCTTTTTTTTTACTAACAACTGATTCTTGAGCCTTGCGCTTCTTCTAAGCTGGGGCTTCTGCTCTTATTTCCTGCACTGAACTGCTTTTAGAGCTTTCTGCTATTATTATTGTGTTATTTTTGCATCACTCGGCACTTGTATACTGCAGAGTGACTATCGATCTTTATCATGTATTTTACATATATACATAATAAGTAATAGAATTTAGTGAATATTTAATATTATTTAAGATTAAGTAAGAAATAAGTTATAGATCATTATTACTTACAAAATTACTTTGCCTATCTCTAATCTAGGTAGAGGTCAGAATCGGCTACAAAATTTAAAACCTGAATTGTTTAAATACAATTATGAAAAAACTCGATTTATGCTAAATCAGATTGGTTTAAACTGAATTTAATTCAAATTGTCAGATAAATATTTAGCCGAAAAGAAAAACCTGAAATTACTTTTATGTTATATTGGATATATTAGTTTTTTTTTTTTTTTAAGTTTAAAGCAGCTTACATTGCTAATAGGATTTTATTAGTTTTGCATATAGGATTATATATTGATAATCCTTACTGTTTGTAATTACATGAAGAGTGTACAACAAGTCACATGTACAATTTTAGTTATTGTTTATTTTAAGTAGTCTGCTACACAGGCAATTAGATCACTTGATTGGTTTTATACTATGTTGTCATATCTGTAACCTTTCTGTGAATTATCTATTTAAACACTCTGTTCATTAATCTATACAAATTCAATCCTAATGTCACTACAACATTTAACTGTTTAAGTCAGCTAGCTTGTTACAGATTTATTTACTCAAATCATCTTAGATCCTCTTAGGTTACATTATATATAACACATTGTAGGTATTACAAAGCTAGTTAACCTCAAAGCAAATCTACTAGAATAACTTGTATTTATTTTACAGGATCACTTAGATTAGACCCTTATAGTGTTTATATAATCTCAGTCACAATTTTTTATATTTTCACTAGTACTTTGTACTCTCTAAATAGTTAGATTCTCTTAAATTTAGTTAGCTACCTAATTAGGTTATTATTGCTAATTAGTAAATTAGATTTACTCATATTCTCATATTTGAGTTTTCTTCTCTAGATTTCAGGTTTCACTAGTATAATCATCAAAGATTATACTATCTCACTACTTAGAATTTCTATTAAATAGATTTTTAGCCTATAGATTTTATTAAAATTTATTTATATAACATTATATTATACTTTTAATATTTAATTAATTTAGTACAACTTGATTTACAGAGTTACAATTCTAGAAATAAACAAAGTTTACTGAAAGTTAGATACAAAGATTTGAATAATTATTTAAATTTATCAATAGTAGGATTTGAACTCTAGACCTCTTGTATAGTAGTTTAGTAATCTAACTACTATACTAAGATTATCAGACTGTGGATATATTGGATTATTAATATATAATTTTAAAATTTAATAGAAAAATGAAATAAAACTGAATACTAATTTAAAAACTAATTTGTAAGAGGGTTACAACTGAATTAGAATATTACAAGATGATTTACTATTTAAATCAGTTTAATCTGAAGTTGAAGTTGAAGTTTATAATTTATTTCTAACTTCTATATCTTTAAAAGTTAAAAAATCAAAAAGAAAAATTAAAAAATAAAATTAAAAAAATAAATCAAGATTATGTATTAAAATTTATATTAAATTATTTATTTTTTTTATCTATTTAGTACTAAATATATAAATAGTTTATAAGTTTTTATAAATATAATATTTCACAAACAATCAATTCACTGATATATTTGTTTTACAAACAACTAATTTCTAGATAAGCTTATTTCGTAAACAACTTATTTTATATATAGTTTATTTTACTAACAAGTTAATTACTTATAATTTCTCTAATCTTATCTAACTCAAACTCTAATTCTAATAGTAATAATATCAGTAAAATGAGCTATTAGTGAAATAAGTTGTTTATAAAATAATCTAGGAATTAATTGTTTATAAAACAAAAATATTAGTAAATTGATTGTTAGTAAAAGGTTAAGTCTACAAAATAAGTATTAGTAAAATTAGTTAAACTATTCTATAAGAGTATTACAAGATTAGGAGCAAGAGCTTAAAAGTAGTAGAGATAAGACCTGAATATAAAAATCTCATCTGAATATCTGTTTAAATTTGAAATCAGATATTCAGGTGAACTCAGATCATTTATTAAAAAACAATTTAAAAGTTAAATTTAACTATATATTACTATAGATTTTAGTAATTAAACAATTTAGAAATTACTATTTTTTTTTATTTTTTATTTTTTTTACACAGTAAGTGTCTTTAGAAATTACTATTTATACTTCTCTCCATATAAAAAAATTATTTTAGCTACTTGTTTAGAGATAATAATTAATCATATTATAATGATAAGTTAATAACTCATCTATGCTAGTTATAATTTTGAAAAGTTTTAGTCAATTAGCACAACTCTGAAAAAAAAAATATTTGGATCTCTGTTTTTTGTTAATTAAAATGATAAGTATTCTAGATCAGCTAAACGATCTTTTATTAATTAAATTTTTTTCTAAGATTTTATATAACATATTAAACTATTGTAGCTTTATATTATTTATTAGAATATTAAATATAATTAATTAGTAAAACTATTTTTTACTAGTTTAAATTTACTTTTCAACCTATTCTGACTTAATTGACTAAAGTGTCTAAGAACATCTAATAGAAGTTTTTATACATAGAAGGTATGAATAGCAAAAACAGAATACAATTAGTATTGCCTTTTATTTATTTAGAAAACAAATTAAACTATTTCAAGTACATCATAATTTCTCTTAACAAACATTATTTTTGCTACTAAATTTGAATCTAATTGAGTATATTTTGCTATTATCTGATTTCTTACATCAGAAAATAATCTCTTACTAAGTACAGAGGATACAGGAATAGATAAGTATTTTCTAGCTAATTTTGATATATTTGAAAACTATACTTTTCTATCAAACTACTACTTAAAAGATCAATACTGTCTTTAACAAGAGGTGTATGCATTAGATCTAAATAATATTCTAATTCATCTATAGAACTAGATTCTATAGAGTTTATGTTAGATATGCCAAATATTGATAAGTACAAACAACTATGACAAAAATTATTTTCAGATATATTTAAAACACTAGAGCTAGATGATATATTTGAACTAATTAGTTCTTTAAATTGTTGTATTAGTTCTTTTTTTGCTATATCTTGAATATCTTCACTTCAAGTTGCTAGTATCTTTAGTTTAGGGTCTAAAAGTGATACTAATAACTCAGGCATTAGTGGTTTACTCTAATAATCAAACAAAGAATCATAAATTGTATATTGTAAAGTTTTAAGAATAGTTTGTGTAATATAAGTAAGATCATTACTTTGACTTGCAGTATTTGTTACTAAACATATTTGATAACAATAGTGATTTGTTAAAGTCAAGAGTTCTAAATTTTCATCTTCAGAACTATTATTGTCAGAAGATTCTTTATGTTCAAAATTAGGTATCTCTAAATAAATAAATAAATATTTAAAGAATTAAAAGTTAAAAATAAAGTATTATTTATACTCTACTCCAAATAAAAATATATCTTCTAGAGATATTTTTATTTGAAGAGGAGTATAAATAACAATCCTTCAAATAAAATAAAGGTAAATTAAAAATTACCTTTATCATTATAATCTAATCATTTAGATGTTTTAGTATAAGCATATGTATATTTAAGAACTTAGATTAATAGATATATAATTGATATTATTGCATATTGTGTACTACTAAAATAAGTAGTAGCATCATTAAAGAGCTCTAATAAATTAACTATATTTTTTAAAAGTTCCCATTCATAAGGTAATAAAAGTCTTTTTTGAAGTTTTTGTCCTTCAGCTCTATCAGTTAGATTTTCTAATAAAGGTAATATTATAGCTACCTATTTAATTACATAGCGTAATTTAAGTAACCTACTCCAAAAGTAATATTTACTGTTCTAATAAGTTTTTACATTAGCAATATTTCTCAATATAGTACTTTGGCTTAAATTTTTTTCAACAGAATAGTTTGAACTTTTATTGTTGAAATTACTTGACATATCAGAGTCAGTAATGTTTTGATTTTATATAGAAAAAGTGAATAATGATAATTGAGATTCTAGTTGAGTAGCATCTAAATATTTACTGCATTTTGGTAATTTGGTAAAAAATTTAACTAATTGCTTTATTCTTTTAAAATAAATGTTAGTTTTTGTAAAAGTATGATATATTGAGAGTTGCAAAGTATAGGCTGTATATAGCAAGTACTCAATACTATCTCATAAACTACTTGCCTTAACTATATTACTGCTGTTATCAGTTACAATATATGTAATTTTTCCATCTAACCCAAATTCAAATACTTTTTTTTTTAATAGTGTAACAATCTTTTCATCTGTATGAGGATAAGGCATATGTTCTATATATAAAAGACAGTTATAAACTTTAAAGTCACTTGATAACTAATAGATGGTTATACCTATATAACTATGTTTACTCTAAGCTATCTACAGGTCAGTTATTAATGATACTGATTCACAAGTATTGTCTAACAAACTTTTTAGTTTTTGAATTGAATTAACATAACTATTATTAATTTCTTTATTAATTTTTTTGGTGAAAGGGATTTTAAAAGCTAGATTAATAACTTTCATCATTTTTCTATAACCTTTTCTATTAATTACATTTATTGCTATATTATCAATAACAATTTAGTTACTAATCAATTATTGAATTTCTTAGTTTCATAGCTTTTGATGTAATTTAACTTTTGTATATTCAAAAACCTCTGATAAAGTTTGTTGAATTGTATAAATCTGAGGCTAAATATTATATTTATAATGAATATTATACTAATTAATAAATTACAATAACTACAATATTAAAGTTGTTAATAGAGTATACCAACTTTGGTTTAAACTGAAGTAGTTTATATGTTTTATTATTTGTAATACTCTATTAATAATATACTAAACTAAAAATACTTTATTCTAATTTTTATTCAAGTTATGTTTATTTCATAAATGATTATTCATATTTCCTATGCTACTATTATATCAAAATTTACAACCATATAATACTGATTCATTTTACAAATTCATTATTTTAACTTAGCATTCATCATAATTTCTATTATTGCTTATTTTAAAATAATTACAGACCCAACTCGATTTTGTATAAGTTTGTCTTGGTTTGTTTGTTTTATCTTTTTTTTTATTTGATTAATTCTTATCAAAAATAGATATATTACTACTTGAGCTAATTGAAATATTATGCTCATTTCATATGTTCATTAAAGGCAAATTGTCTAGAAGGTTCACTAGGATCATTATCATAGTTAGCCATTTTATTAGAGAAGGTACTGGAATTAATATTTTAATAAGTAAAATAAAAAAATATATATATATTATATCATTTGTAATCTAAATATTTTTAAATTTTTGAATTTAAGAAAAAAATTCAAGTTTATATATACTTTTAAAAAAAAAAAGTATTCTTTTTTGTTTCCTTATGCTGATAGTTTTCCAACTCAAATACTACAGTATAACCTTGATATAACAAACCTCAATAAACCAAATATAGTATTATAATGAAGATTTTTTCTAGCTAAAATTTTTTATTAATAAATTAACCTTGATATAATGAATTTAATTATAAAACCTTGTTATAATGTATAACAAAATAATTTATTTTTTGTTCATAACAAAATTACCTTATTATAATGAATACCTTTATATAATGAATTATTAAATGAGATAACAAAGCATTTGTGTAATATCGTTAATAGTATAATATAAAAAAAAAGTTAAAATTTTCATGTCTTTCATTTAACAAGTGCAGTAATAAATACTGATACAAATAAGTGACAAAACAATAATAGTAATAGCAAAACTCAAAAGAAAAAAAGGATTATTTTAACTAACAAACAAAGATATGATTTATGTTTTCAAAAAAAGAATAAACCTAGTATTAAAAATCATGACCTTGTTGCCTAATATAGTATCAGTGAATCAACATGCAGTGAAATTTTAGCAAAGTCAGATCATTGGTTATCGATCAATTTAAGTTCAAAAGATACAACAAATAAAAGAAGCAAAAAACCTGTTTTTGTTAACATTGAATTAGCAGTGGCACTTTGGGTAGAACATGTTATAGGTAATAAACAAATATTAACAGGCTATCTTATCCAAAATAAGACAAAAAAATTTGTATCATTATTGAATGAAGATAAATTTAATGCTTCAAATAGTTGGTTACATAACTTTAAAAAAAGATACAACATTAGTGAGTATAAGAGGCAAGGTGAAGCTGATAGTGCACCTTTGGAAAAATTATCTGAATTTAGAAGTAAACTACAAAGTGTTATTCAACCTTATAGGCTTAAAGATATTTTCAATTATAATGAAACTAGTTTGTATTACTGGATAGAGCCTTCCTGTATATTAGCAACAGGTCTAGTTTCAGAAACAAAAAAAGCAAAAGAAAGAGTTACAATTTTATTAACTTCTAACGCAACAGGAACAGAAAAATTAAAACTATTGTTTATTCATAAGTATAAAAACCTACATGTGCTTAGAAATATTGACAAAAAAAAATTATCAGTTGAGTATTTCTGGAATAAGACTGCTTGGATACAAAAATCTATTTGACAACATTATATAAAAAATTTGGATTCAATGATGCATCTTAAAAATCGCCAAATATTACTTTTAATTAATAATGCACTAACTCATGATCTTGAAGACAATATAGTATTAACTAATATAAAAATAGAGCTCTTGCCTAAATATACCACAGCTCATCTTCAACTGATGGATACTAGGATAATTAATTCTTTTAAAGTAAGTACAGTATTACAGGTTTGCTAATTAATTTTGTATACTATTATCAAGAATATTCTTATTCTAAAAAAAAAAAAAAGATAAAAAAAAAAAATAATAAAAAGAAGATAAAAAAGAAGCAATAAAAAAAAAAGGAAAAAGAGTAGTTCATTCTTGTTTTAAGATGTTCTAAATTAGTTGACAAGTCTGTAACATTCTATTATTATGTGCTAACCAAATATTTATTTATTTAGGCCAAATATAGACATTTTCTCATTCAAAACTATTTGGACGCATATGAATTTGCACTTGAGACTCAGTCAAAACTGGTCTTAGTCAATATAAAAGAAGCAATAGATTATTGTGTATTAGCATAAGATAAGGTATTAAGTAAAACAATTAGGAATTGTTGGCGTAAAATGAGAATTCTTCTAGTTGAATTGAATAATGATCATTTTTCTCTGCAAGAATTCTCACATTATGATAAATATCTAGATGATGCAAGAGAAGTTCATTATCTTATTGAACAATTTCTAATTAATTATGATAATCTTTTACCTGCTTCAGAATATATAAAAATTGATAATGACTTATCTACTACTGAAATCCCTTCAAACCAAGAAATTTAGCTACTCTTCAAGAGAATGATAATGATGATGATGAGAGTGAACTTACACCCCAAATTCTACTTAACTTAGCACTAAAAAGCTTAGAGAATATAAGGTTGTTATTATTGAATTTACTTGAAACTTTATGCATTGAAAATAAAGATTTAAAGATTATTAACTCACTTAAGTAATGCATTTTAAGTTTAATTATTCGACAAAAAAAACAATTAAATATAGAGAATTTCTTTAGCAATAATAAATAACTATTTACATTTGTTTTAGAAGATATTTATAAGGTATAGGTTAAAGAAAATATGTTAATTATGGAGAATAAGATAAGTTGATGTAATTAAAGGTTGAATATACAAACTAAAATTTGATTTAGTTTTTCAAATTCATAGCATCAAGTTTTCTTAGGTAAGTTTTTAAAGTTATTCGAATTAATTTTTAATAGATTTCTAATACTATATTCTAAATATTCGTATCTATTCAGTATACATAAATATCGTTGAATTTTTTTTTTTTTAAAAAAAACAATGAATGTCTACTGTATTAAAAATTTTACATTCATAATCGTAATATTGTTTTGTAATATCTTAATATTAATTATTAATTATTAACTAATTGATTCAAAATAGTGATATAGAGAGTTATTGATTAGTGCGGATAGATCAACTGACATTCTTATTACAGTAATTAGAATTTTTCGACTATTGAACATTCAAATTTTAATTTATTATTCTTATAAGTTAAAGTAAAATAGTGAGTACTTTTTTTTTTAATTCTATAGTTATTCTTTCTTGTGAGAATGCGCTAACCTTATTAAACTTAACAGGTAATCAAGTTTTCCACTATAGATCTTTTAGTAGACACCTCTACTACAATTGTAGTTACTAAGAACTCTTATAGTATTCATGAAACATTACCTTATAAACTTAAGCCTATAAAGGCTGAGATTTTATCAGTTCTTTCCCTTAATAATAGATTCAACTAAGTTTAAAATTATTAATAGTTTATTTTCAAACCTTTTATAATTAATGTAGGCTAACTACTATATTTTAATTGCTATTGACAGTGAAAAGAAACACAAACCAATCTTAAAATTACTTTACAAAGAAGAATTTATAGTATTCATACTCCATTAAGACATTTGATTGAATGAAGTATTGTGTCTAAGGTAAATTAGAATTTAAGCAAGTGTTGTCAGAGTTGTCATATCACAATGTTCAATTGGTTTCAATTTTTTTGAATATATACCAAAAAAAATTGAAACTAATTAGACATCGTGACGTAACAACCCTGAGTGCTGTACTATGTTTGATTGTTAGCGATATTATATATAGTATAATCAATATTAAGTTATAACTTTAATTATTCAGGTAAAATGTTTACTAGGTTTACTGTCATCTAATTTTAGGTTAGAAATTTTGATGAGTGAAAATGAAACTATTGATTAAACAGTATGTTTATAATTTATAGTTTTATTTACATAGTATTAAAATTAATCTATTCATTAATTTATACTCGCATATGCAGTATTAATTATGTGAAGCTTTAATTTATAGATTCTTTTCAAATTATAGTATATGCACTGTATATTGAAATATAGCATCATTAATAATATACAATAAATATATGTAATCATATATTATTAATATGAACCTTATAAATACAGTACCTTCTTTATTGACTTTGAAGCCTAGTTTAATTATATCCTTATTACTGAAGTTTAACTCATTTTAAACTTGATTTTAAACTTACAAAAAAAGCTAAAAAACATAAAATTTTTAACTCTTAAGATTTAATTAGCTTATTCTCATAATAAATTATATTTACAGTATATAATTAACTCAAGCTAAGTTGTAAAGTATAGATTATAAACCTTCATTATAGCAAGATGTCCAAGACTATATAGATTCGTTATAATAAGGTACCTCAATAAATTAAAACCTTAATATATCGAGCAAAACCCTTCAGCTTCTGAGCTTTGTTATATTGAGGTTATACTGTAATTAGTTAAATAGTTGTTAAGATAATCTAATTTTCTATTTTATTTCTAGAATCAGATTTTTTTTTACTGTTTTAAATTCACTTTCAGAGAGATATTAGTAAAATAAAATATAGGTTGTAGTCTTAAATAAGCTAGTAGATCTTATATTTAGCTTTTTAGATATAAAATTTCTTGATAATTAGTTTGATAATTATTAATATAATCTGATTTTTCTATTTCTTTCTAGAATTAGATTTTTTTTATTATTCTTAAATTCACTTTTGATATATATTTTTCATAAAATAATTATTATTTATTTAAAAATAAATTATTTTATATAAATATTAACATTAAAATTTTACTTTTTTTATTTTATTTAGAAATTTATAAAATTGTTAAAAAGGTAATATATTACAAATTTTTTTTTGCTAATTATATATTATTTTTGTAAAATAATAAATAGATCTATATTATCTTGTAAACTTTATTTACTTAAAGCTAGTATAACTAAAATTCAAGCTTTTTATTACTTAATTTTTAAATACTTTGCTATTTATAGACTTGTAAGGCATCTTCATACTTATTAACTACTTTTATGAATAGTTTTAGTAAGGTATCAAAATTTTTTATAAAATTATTATTGTTTATTTCTCTTTTATATAATTCTAATATTTTTTCAAATATTTTTTATATTAGAAGTATTTTTCTTGTCTTTCTTTTATTTTTTTTCAAATACTATTGTTGATATATTTTGTAAATTTTCTGAATAATGACTTTTTATAACAGAATTTTCTATAAAAGAATTTTCTTCTATAATAGTTATATTAATTATTCTCTATAAGTTATTTCTTTAAAATATTGTTAGAAGTTTGTTATTTCTAAAAAAAAAAATAAATAAATAGTTATGTCATCTTGTCATCATCCTAAAAGTAAGCTAAAAATCCTTTTCTTTTTTTGTAATTAAATATTTATATAAAAAGTAACAACTATTAATATATACTAGACAAGAACAAATCTAATTAGCTATATTTATATGATATTTTTTATCTATATTAGGTATAATATTTGCAGTTATAGCTTTATTCTAATCTTTTTTAAAAGTCTGTTACTATGATAAAAAACTTCAACTTGTATTATACTGAGCTAGTTTAAAATTAAAGTCTAGTATTAGCTATTCAACAAGAATATTTGTAAGATAGTTAAGTTGAGGCTTATTATAGTTGTATTTATAGTTATATCTAAGTATTCTCTAATAGCTTTTTGTAATTATAGTAGTTTAAGCTAAAAGTATTGCTAGTAAATAAGCAGAACAGGCAAATATTTTCTAATCTTTTTTGTTGACTAGTTGATCTAAAAGTATTCACACAAAACAAATCTTATAATTAAAACAAAAAAAATAAACTTCTTTTATGCAATAGTAGTATATATAAGCTAAATTCTAGAAATTATTTTTTTCTACTAGAATTAATAGATACATATTTATATGATATTTAATTATACTTATAATTTCTTTTGCCTTTTTTTCTAAATATAAGCTTCTAATAAAGCTAGTTAGAATTTACAATAGATTAATAAAGTTAATTTATTAATAAGCTTCTAATGCTTTTTCTTTTAAGTAAATATTTGATTATAGTTTTTTATCTTTTAAAAATTTGTTTTAGTATTTTCTAAATGCTAATAATATAATTAAAGATTTGTATATAACTAGACTTCACTAATAGCTAAAATTTTACTAGTATTTTTGTCTAACAAGACAAATGAAGATAGCAACTCTTCTTGATAAAAACTTGTGAAGAAACTAAGAACTTATACATAAGTTGTAATTTTATTACTTAAATAGTAATTTGCTACACTCAGATTATTAGATATTAGTAAGTATAAGTATACTAATAGCATACTATATTTATCATAGTTAGAGTTTATAACAAAAAGTTCAAATCATTTCTAGTTTGTTTTAAATATTGAATCTATTACAATTTTTTTATATTTTGTATACTAATTTGATTAAACAGTAAAGTAATAAATCCTAAAGCTCATATAAAATCATTATCAAAGTAAGAAAGAATTTTGAATTCTCTAGCTATAAGTTTAAACTGTTTAAACTATGACTTAGAAGACAAAAGCTGATTACTTTAGTTTATGAGATATGTTTGCTTGCTATAAACTGATATTCAATAATATACTTGTTTTTTTGTATGTATTAAAAAAATTAGATTATTTTTAATAAGATAGCAATACAACTCTAAACTTCACAAGTAATAATAGTAATTTTTTTGAATATATCTTTTTAAATCTTCAGAGAATTTAATTTGCTAATATAATAGATATTTATGCAAGTACAAATATTCACATTATATACTTGCATATTGTAATTAAATATCTATATTAATTGTAATTTTACATTCACAAGGAAATCATTATATTGCAATACAAGCTTTACTTTACTTTTTAACCTTCTAATTACTTAGTTTTTAATTTTGATCTTCTTATAATACATACTCAAGATATACTATAGTATATCCTATAAATTCTTTTCTTTTAAAATTTAAAAATAATCTTTTTATTTTTTAATAATATTCAGATCTTAATTCAAATAGTAAAATAAAAACTTTTGTAAGTTATACAAAGCTATCTTAGATTTTCTCTAAGTCTAATAAGCTAGTCTTAAGATCTTAACTAATTTCAAATATATCTAAAAGGCTAGAATCTAATTTAATTTTAAATACAAACTTAGTAGATTCTTCAGATATTTCTGTATTTTGAAACTATATAGTGATAAACCTCTTTACCTTATCTATACAATATAAAAGTATATTTGCATTATTATTATCTTTATCAATACTATTATACTCTTTTATTTCAATTATATTTGCAGAGTTATTGTTAAATAAGAAGCTAGTTTCTGATGTTTGTTCAAAATCATTATAGTCTTCAAAGATATTATTAACTTGAAGAAAATTTAAGGTTCTAGAAGTTGAAGTACTAATAGTTAAAACTATTGTATTAAGACTAGTATTTGTTTTAGTTTTCTTTTTAGAATTTGTTTCTTGTCTTTTTTAAAATATTTTTTATAACAAAAATTATAGTTTGTATACTTATACTGTAGATTATTCCTGCATAGTTCACAAAAATATTATTTTTTTTTTGACAAATAATAACAAGTATATTTTTTATTTTTAGAAATTTGAGTAGATAAACTACTTTTATTCATTTTTACTTAGTATATTAGATGTTTTGTATTTATAAAAATAAATATAAATTAAAGTCTGGTAACCTAGTATAGTAGTTAGGTTGTCAGACTGCTATGCAATAGGTCTGGAGTTCAAATCCTACTGTCGATGAATTTGAATAATTTCTCAGACCTTGTGATATATTATAGTAAAGCTAGTCTGTTTCTGGGGTGTACCCTTGTAAATTGAGTTGTACCAAATCAATTAGAACTTGGAAGTATAGTATAATATTATACGAATAAATCTTGATAAGATATATGAGTAGGAGACCTATATAGTAAAAATCCCAAGTCAGTGAAGTAGTATAGCTTTTCGACAGAACTACATCAGCTAAAGTCTGATCTGTGAAGAAAATTAGTTTAATAAAGGTAGAAGGTTTTGAGGTCTCTAAGCGAAGAGTAACTAAAACTAGCTGGATACTAGAAAAGGGCTAGATCGACCAACTAGTGAAGAACCATAGTAGAATCTAGAGTTATACAAATATCTATAAGAGTCTAAGCTAAGTAAATTCATAAAATATATAAACTGCTCTAGTAGGTTTGCTTTGAGATTAACTAACTTTGCAATACTAGCAATGCATCTGGTATAATATATTCCAAGAGGACCTAAGCTATTCTGAATAAATGGGGGTGAGTCAATAGAAATCAAGCAAATTGTTTTTATTGAAATTTTTTTGAAACTTTAAACAATAATAACTCAACAAAAGCTTTATCAAATTTAATAAAATTTTTTTTAAATGAATTCTATAATTTGTAATATTTATTTTAAAAAAATTTTTATTAATTTTGATAAAGTTTTTGTTAAGTTATTGTTGGTTAAAGTTTTAAAAAAATTTACTTAGAAAAAATTTGCTTGATTTCTATTGACTCAACCTCAAATAGATCCATAATAATTTAGCTGGCTTAAGCAGTTAAGTATTGCAGTAATGTTAGATTGGATCTGTATAGATTAATAAACAGAGTGTTTAAATAGGTAACTCACAAGCAGGTTACAGGTATGGCAGCATAATGTAGAACTAATTAGGTGGCCTAATGCCTATGCAGCAGACTACTTAAAATAGATAATGACTAAAGTTGTATATATGGCTTGTTGTACACTCTTCAAGTAATTACAAATAGTAGGAATTATTAATGTATAATCTTGTTGACAATTCTAATAAAATTCTTTTAGCAATATAAGCTGCCTTAACAACAAAAAAAAAAAATAAATAAATATAAATTGAAGAGAAATATATAATAAAAGAGATAACTTAGATTATAATTTAATATAATTATATATAATGAATATAAATTAATAATGATATTAATATTCAACTCTTTTTGACGATCATTAAAACCAAACTAACAGAACAACAAAAAAGTTATTTTTTTTGCACTACTACCTGATAAAGCAATTTAAAATGTCTGACTATGTGAGGAATAAACTACAAAACTATAATAAGTTAGAAGCAAAAACTGCAACAAGTCAGTTTCAAGGTTGTACTAAACTTTTTGCTATCTGACTTTAGCAAGACAACTTTAAGTTTGTTTAGTAGAAAGATGCTGAAAAGGAAAAGAAGAAGTAAAGAAGGACTCCAACTATACTTATGCTAGGTCAAGCATACTACTACTCATTTAGTTCTGTTTTTTTAAAGAACTATTCTCTATACTCTTGACAACTAAACTTTTGAACTTGGAATTATTTCCTTTTGTTTCTTGACAACAAAAAGTAGAAATTTGGCTTACTCCTGCCAAAAGATTAATATTTATACTATATATATTTTAGAAAAGTCATATTGGATACTACCAAATAACAATAACTTGTAAACATATATAGCACATATTTTGTAATTAACTTCTGTTGACTAGATACTATGTGAAATTCATAAAGGCTTTGCTTTGTTGGATTAGTACTAAGTAGACATATTGGAAATAGTTAATCAAAAAGATATATACATAGGTAGCAACTAGTATTATAATTTTTAAAAGTAGTACTTGCTTTTAGGCTTACTTTTAGGTAGAACTACTCTAGGTTTTTTTTCCTTTTTTCTTTTTACATCAAAAAGAAAATTTTGTTTCTTTTTCTTTTTTGTTTTTTTTGTTTTGTTTTGTTTTCTATTTACTTAATGCTAGTATAGTTTTTTACTTGTTAGCAAGTTTTTCTATACTATGCTTACATTCTTATAGTATATAGCTTTATGCTTTTCATTATCTGTAACAATTTTTTATTTTTTTCTATCTTGAAACTAGGTATTAACAACTTTTAGTTTAGTCTTAGATTAAATTAGAAGGGATCTAGAATCTTAATAGTAGCTGAAAGTCACTGATTATTGATCAAAAACTAGGATATACAGTTCATTCAGTGAATTACTTTTGGAGATAAATAGCTTTTGTAGCAAATCGAACTTAGATATATTTAATATAGCTGAGTTATTTTAGACCAAATTTGTAAAGCAGTATATAGTTATATTGAGATATAATAGTATATTGTATGTTATCTTTTGATAAACTATCTATAATAAAAGAAAGAGCAAAATCATTTAAATAGAAAAAAAAAATGATATAAATATTAATTTTTAAGTTTATTTAAAGATAAGGTCTTTGTTTACTTTTTTTTGCTATTTGTTTATATATTGCATAAAAATAAACTAATTAAAAATTAATTATTTGCAAAATTAACCAATTATATTTCTAGATTTAGTTATACTTGCATATTTGTTTGCATATTACATGAAAAAAATATATAAACAAAGATTCTACTTTTAAGAGTAGAGTCTGATGTAGAATATTTTTTATATGATTTGCATGTCTGATTAAAATTTTTATAAAAAATTGAAAGATGTTACTAATAAAACTTTTTATAATTATAATTAATTTTTATTAAAATTTTATAATATATATATATTAAAACATGTATTTTACAATGGTATAAAATTTAATAATTAAAATATTTAAAAAAATATACTTATATATGTTGTAAAGTTTCCTGTAGTGACCTCAAATTCTCTGTGGTGACACAAAATCAGCAATTTTAATTGGTTAATATTACATAATTATCATATAACAAAAATAATACTTAATCTTTAAATATATATTTCTTATTAAATATTTAACTAATTTTAATGATTTTACTTTTATTAGAATCAGAAAATCCTAATCTACAAACTTTACTTAAAAATCTAAAATAATTAACTTAATAAAATTTTTTAAAATATTAAAAATAAAAAAAATTTACTATCAAAGTTATATAAAAAATGATATCATTGAACTCTACCCTTAAACTTGAAATTAGTACTGTTGATAAATATTAGTTTCTTTTTTCTTGTTTTTTTCATTGTTTATTCTTTTACTAACTCTTCTTTTTTCATAGATTTATTTCATCTTGAGTTTGTGAAATAGTGCCAGAATAGGTATTTGGACTTGAAATTAGTATTATTGATAAATACTAGTTTGTTTTTTTATTTTTGTTGTTGTTTATTCTTTTACTAACTCTTCTTTTTTTGTAGGTTTATGTTTTGTCTTAAGTTCATAAAATAGTACTAAAATAGATATTTGAACTTGAAATTAGTATTATTAATAAATACTAATTTGTTTTTTTCATTCTTGTTGTTATTCATTCTTTTACTAACTTTTCTTTTTTTCATAAATTCATCTCATTTTGAGTTCATAAATTAGTACTAGAATAGGTATTTGGAATTAGAATTAGTACTATTGATAAGTATCAGTTTCTTTTTTCTCATTCTTTTCATTGTTAATTCTTTTACTAACTCTTCTTTTTTTGTAGTTTCATTTCATTTCAGATTTGTGAAATAGTGCTGGAATAGGTATTTGAACTTAGAATTAGTATTATTAATAAATACTAGTTTGTTTTTCTTGTTCTTGTTGTTGTTTATTCTTTTACTAACTCTTCTTTTTTTTGTAGTTTTATTTCATTCTGAGTTTGTAAAATAGTGCTAGAATAAGTATTTAAACTTAGAATTAGTACTATTAATAAGTATTAGTTTCATTTTTTTTATTCTTGTCATTGTTTATTCTTTTATTAACTCTTCTTTTTTCATAGTTTTATTTCGTCTTGAGTTTATGAAATAATATTGAAATGAATATTTAGACTTGGAATTAGTACTATTGATAAGTATTAGTTTCTTTTTTTTTTATTCTTTTATTATTTATTCTTTTACTAACTCTTTATTTTTTATAGCTTTATTTCATCTCAAGCTCATAAAATGATATCAGAATAGATATATAAACTTGAAATTAGTATTATTGATAAATATCAGTTTGTTTTTCTTATTCTTGTTGTTATTTATTCTTTTACTAACTCTTCTTTTTTCATAGATTTATCTTATTTCAGATTCATAAAATAATACCAGAATGGATATTTGAACTTAAAATTAGTATTATTAATAAATACCAGTTTTTTTTTTTAATATTTAGCAGTTATACTATAACTTTATTTAGAATTGTTTTTTATATAAAAATAATATTATTTAGTAATATACTATCTAATGACTAATTTTTTAAGCTATGACTCACTCAGTTATCCTATAGATACCTATGTACGATCTGCTATAGTGACCTTTATCCTATTCTGAAATAGTTTATAATTTATAAACTACAAGTCAAAATAAGAAGAACACCACAGCCTATCATAACTGTTTTTAACTCCAACTATCTATTATTCCCTCCTTTACTTCCCTAGCTATACTATCTAACACTATTTTAACACTAACATTACTAGCTTCTGTGTTCTCATCTACTTTTTTAATTGTTTTTTTCTTTGTAAATGCTTTTCTCTATTTGTTCTTTTCTTTTCTTTTCGTGAATATTTTTCTTTTTTCGAGATCCTTTTCTTTTTCTCCCATGTCTCTATATCCTTGCTCAAATTCTCCAAATTTCTTCGTATACCAGTTCTATCCAAATATACTAAAAAAGGCTCTAAAATTTGATCATCATTCTCTCTGAACTGATAATACTTTTGATTTTTTCTGCATCATCTTCACTGA